GATCTGCCGACTGACTTGACATCTTCCTCATCCTAGAATCCTTCTACCCTATCAGATAGATCCTCACTTGGCCCTGATTTAAAACCTGGTATATTACTGGTAAATTCGGCATGGTATTCTTACTGCCCTGACTTGCTCCTCATCCTATTATCCAATAAGAACGATTCTTACTTGGTTCTACTTAGAAAACTGGTAGATTACTGGTGCGTTTGCCATGATATGCTTTCATCTTGAATTTCTCCTCATCCTTCATCCTCCACCTGTACGCCATTGTATACCATCAGCGTAGACGGAAGCACAATTTTATCTTCATAAATGCTAATGTGTCTATCTATCTGTTACTTTTTCACGACGAAACAGCTGATTTTATTGAAATTTAACATAAAGGTAGAGGCCATTTTTAATCTCATAAATGTATACTAAGTTTCTACTAACAACTAGCAATTAAATAAAGTACATCGGTATTAGTTAATTAAAGTTAGAAGCAGAAATGTATCCTTTAACCACATACATTTCTATATACTATACTCTATATGTCTCAAATATGTAGCCAAAAACATTGGTAACTGTCGGTTTTGTGGTTAACGTTAACTTCAAGTTGCAACTGAAATGCACACATTTTACTGACCATATTTAGACGTAGCGGTAAGCTACTAAACTGAGACTCTATTAATTAAAGTCAATTTGTTAAATTAGTGTAGATAGATGCAAACTTCTGAAGCTTGCAGTTTATGAGCCTGGAAGTATAAACCACTAATCCGCAATCTGCTTAGTCTTGTATTTGCATAGGTATATTTTGTCTAAAAAACTAACTATCAACTTCATTCGCCACGAAATCGGGTTATTTTTCGTAACATGCAAACAAAAATGCAACCAAAGAGACTTACTTTTTCACTTTTAAAAAATATACCAATAAAAGTACAATAGTTTCTGCCTGTTGTTAACTGGTATTGAAGAAATAGGAATAAATAAAAGATTTTTTTTGATATGACTACATTCTTTATTTCATTTTCAAGGATTACATATTTATGCATTACTAGCATTGCCCGCGACTTCGTCCGTGTGTTATAATGATCTTGACTGATGATCACTGATCAGAGTAGGTAGAGCTATTTAGGATCATTGACCTCAAACATTGATGTTAATATGGATATAATCATTTATAGACCATTGAATTATTTTTGATTCAATAAGTAAATTATTGTTCAAACGTATCGATACTTTTAATTAAGGTTTTATTTTAGGTTAATACAAATAGTTTGTTCTTCAATCATGTTTCGATTATTAAGGCAAATATAATGCGTATGTTATGTTATTGTACAATTTCAGAAAGAAAAAAAAAATGTTACATTAAAAATATATATGGTTTAATAAACCTAGTTAGAAACTTGGTTCATTAAATCACATATTTATTGTACTATCGTGCAAACTGTCCTTATATTTATAGGAGGTATATGTTTCTCTCCGTAAAAATAATAAATACACATGGGCGTAATTATTTTTATATTATTTTACGCGTAAACTGTTTTTTCATATATTTATACTTAAAAAGCAAATCCTGGGATTTGGGGAATATCCATATTATGTTATCAGTACATAAAACAGCTCTACCTACTTCGGTTACTACTAAAAATATTCAATAATCTCACTCAAAAAAGACAACAATAAATGTTTCATCGTTCTAGGTGCTAAACAAACTAACATCTCCTTTTTTATTATACCCCTTAAAGATAACATATAACAAATGTTTAGTGTCACAATTAAAACTAATTTAATCAACAGTCAAAAACATTAATTTCAAGCTTCTAGCTTTAAAAATGACGATATTCATTACAATTTTTCATCTCCACTTTCAACCCCTAAAACACTCCTATTACTTTATTTATTTTGTATGGTAACATCGTATTTTAAAAATTACGTTTCTATACAAACTTTTATCTCCCTTTTCAACCCCTTACTAACTTTTTCGCATTACAAAGTATGCCTATATCCTTTCTCAGGGTCTGGATTTTCTGTGTATCAAATTAAATTTATTTTAGTTCAGTAATTTCGAGGTGAAACAGACAGATAGGCAGACAGACAGATACAATTACTTTTGCATTTATAGTATTAGTAAGGAGTAGTAAGCTATTTAATAAACTAACCCAAAAAAGCTAAAGAAAAAAGTTTTAGCTTCAAATATGACGAATTATCTTACAAACTTTCTTTCCCTATTTTATTTTACCCTCATAAGGATAATATTTGTCAAACTTTGAATTTATATTTAATCAACAGCCCAAAAATGACATCAAGCTCTTAGTTTAAAAAATGACGATACTTCCAAAGAATCCTTCACCTCCCTTTTCAACCCCTTAGAACCCTTTTATCGTTTAAATTGGTTCAGTAGCTTTGGCATGAAAATGAGACAGACAGACAAACAGAGTTATTTTTGCATCTATACTGTTAGTAAGAATCTATTATCTACGACATTTATGTAACATCGAACATCTACTCCTATACTGAACATTAACTGCTTTTATACGATGCACATTCTTTCACGCACGATCAGGAGAGCGCGCGATTTAGCGAGGGAAAGCCAACGTGCGCAATTGTGAGGTATTGCATTTAACTATTTATATATTTTTTCACTCTTTCGCGAGTGTTTTCGCGTATGATTAATGTCTTTTCACTTCCTTTTAATTATTTCATTTTTTTGATTTCTTTTATTTTCATAATAAAAAAAAATCTTTTTTCTCCAACTCAGATGACAAGCCTTTTGCAATAACAATTAAGGTGCTAAAGTATGTTTGAAAAACGCGGGAATGCGCAAGTTGGCTGCGCGCGCTGTATTTTGGTTCTCGTTGTCCGCCATGTAAAGACATGGACATTCTTTTCTGCATGAGAGTCTATTCACACGTGTAACGGCAGTTATTGCGCTATTGATATTGATTGAATAACATTGATTCTATTGAACATGACTATCAGCTTTGATATTCCGAAACAACAATTAATACATTTATTGATCTAAACAGCTATATATCATTGAGATTGATTAAATAACATTGATTACATTGAAACATTAAGACGATTAAATACTATTTGCTATGCCGTATTGTTACAATGATCAATACATTTATTTGTTTAAACAGGTATTTATCATTGACATGGAGATCGAATTTGATTGAACAATATTGATTTCATTGCAACATTAAGACAATTAAATACTATTTGCTATGATATATTGTTACGTAATTACTACATTTATTTGTCTAAACAGGTATATATTATTAACATAGAGATTGAAATTGATTGAATAATATTGATTATATAATATCGATTTCAATAAACATTAAGATGATTAAATACTATTTACTATGATATATTGTTACAATAATTCGTACATTTTTTGTCTGAACAAGTATGTATCATTGATATTCTCTATATCAATGATACGTACTTGAAATTGAATAACTTAGATATTGAAATATTAAGACTCAATGTTGTAAATTTTAATATTGCAATATCATAACAATATACATATTATAACTGTAACAATATATCATAATATATTATTACAATAATTAATACATTTATTTTTCTAAACAGGTAAATATCATTAACATAGAGATTGTAATTGATTGAATAGTATTGATTACATAATATTGAATTTAACAAACATTAAGGTGATTAAATACTATTTGCTATATATTGTTACAATAAGCAATACATTTATTTGTCTAAACAGGTATGTATCATTAAGACATAGAGATTGAAATTGAATATCATTTAGATATTGAAACATTAAGACTTAATATTGTACGTTTTAATGTTTCAACATCGTAACAATATATCATAATATATTATTACAATAATTAATACATTTATTTGTCTAAACAGGTATGTATCATTGACATAGAGATTAAGATTTAGATATTGAACGATTAAGACTTAATGTTCTATGTCTTAATAGTTCAATGTCGAAACAATATATTGTAAATGTAACAACATATTATAATATATTGTTACAATTATTAATATATTTAATTACCAATATAGGTACATACATCTATGTTAATAATAAATATCATTAACAGAGATAATTAATTGAATAATATTGATTACATAATATAGACTTCAATAAACACTAAGACGATTAAATACTATTTTCTATATATTGTTACAATAAGCAATACATTTATTTGTCTAAACAGGTATGTATCATTGAGACATAGAGATTGAAATTGAATATTATTTAGATATTGAAACATTACGACTTAATGTTGTATGTCTTAATATTTTAATATCGTAACAATATATTATTATTGATTAATATATCATAATACATTGTTACAATAAGTAATACATTTATTTGTCTAAACAGGTATGTATCATTGAGACATAGAGATTGAAATTGAATATCATTTAGGTATTGAAACATTAAGACTTAATGTTGTATGTCTTAATGTTTCAATATCCTAACAATATATTATTATTGTAACAATATATCATAATATATTATCACAACAGTTAATACATTTATTTGTCTAAACAGGTATATATCATTACCATAGAGATGAAATTGTTTACATAATATTGATTTGAATAAATATTAAGACGATTAAATACTATTTGCTATGACATATTGTTACAATATTTAATATGTTTATTTGTCTAAACAGGGATGTATCATTAAGACATAGAGATTGATATTGAATATGATTTAGATATTGAAACATTAAGACTTAATGTTATATGCCTTAATGTTTCAATATCGTAACTATATATTTAATTGTAACAATACATCATAATTTATTATTACAATAATGAATACATTTATTTGCCTAAACAGGTATGTATCATTGACATATAGATTGAAATTGAATAACATTTAGATATTGGAACAATTAAATGAAAAATTACTATTTGATATGGTATTTTGATACTACAATTGATACACTGATTTGTATTAATTGTCGTATCAAAATATTACATCAAATAGTAATTTATATAGTATTTGTATATTTATGTAGAGAGGCCTGTGTCCGTTGCGCGTGCTGTCGTGTTGTAAATATTCATTATAGCAGTCGAAATCAGTTTAAAGATTTAAGAAGATTCCTCCCTAGCCTTCAGGAAGTAAGTGAGCAGATCAATTGGCAGTGGGAAAACAATGGTCGAATTCTTCTCAGCGGAGATGGTGTTCAGTGTCTGAAATTACGATTGTATTAAAATGAAACAAGAAAGGCCTTACTGAAAAGTTTTACCTACACGGTCTGTTTGGTTTGAGAGAAACGTAAATGCTCTGTAAAGTTAATAGAAATTTTCTTTGAAAAGATAACTGAGCTGTTTGTGAGTTCCATTCGTTTGAAACTATTTCCTGAACTAACTTCCGACGCTGAATTTGCTTAAGACGGCGCCGAATAGGTATTCAAACAAACGAGTTTCTTACCAGTTCACTTCAATTTAATTGAATTCAGAGCTTAACTTTGCGCTTTGTACCTACTGTCATATCAGCTCAGTTTAATTTGCCTAACTAAACTAGAAAGTCCTATATAAATATATTAATTAATTAAATATGGTGCTCAAACCACCATTAGCGCAAAACCACAAATGATAAATCGCTGCTACAATGCCCAAAGGTAATATTATGTACATAATTTATAAGCTATAAGCCCTTTATAGTAGGTACCCACTGAAAGGATTACCCTTGGATAAAAACGTGAAAGCAGCCAGAATAAGTAAGTATTTGAAGTTTTAATAAGTACATAAACATATACTTATTATTGTTGCCTTATAATCGAAAAATATAATTATCCTGTAAGTATCGAATTGTAGTAACTGATATATATGTATATAGGCGCGTAGCAATAGATGATAATTTTTGTTGTAATATTTTTAGCAATTATGAAATATTCTGAGAAAGTCCGGCTGACTGACACTATTTCTTAGCCAACCAATTCATCAATCATTTGATCAATAAATTTGTATAGGTGTATATAGAACTTAAAGGAGGATATACAATTTATATCTGCTATCGCTGAGTGAATCTAATGCCTCGTTAACCTTAAATTTAGTACGATGGAAATATTGTTGAAGTAGATGATTAATCTGATGGAAAAATGCCTAGAGATGAATGATAAACATCGATGTTAAGTCACCGTGAGAAAAAAAACAGAAGATATATTATAAGCTAAATGAAAGATAATACAAAATGCAAAGTATCAGGCCAATTAGAAATATCTATGCTTTCTGACATCGATCATCCCTAACTTACCTGCAAGTAACGGAGTTGGAGAGCGGCAGGGCTGTCGCCAATCACTTCAGATGCCTCACGCAGAGCCCTGGAAGCCTTCTGTTCTCCCTCAGCAGCAATAACCTTGGCCCTAGCCTCCCGGGCGGCTTCAGCTTCGGCGGCCATAGCACGTTGCAGTTGCACGGGAAGGCGAACGTCTTTGCTATAAAACAGTATATCTTTTCACATCTAAGCCTTTTGTTAGTTAATTTGTATTCGAAGCTTATTAATATCTAATATCTTATATTTAGGCTCATATCATAGAGCATGTAAGAAGCCAGTACAATTGGTGACAAATTTCTTGGGATTCATTGTAATTATTACCAAAGATGTTATTGTAAAATATTTACTATACACCAGCGATTCGCTCTTCTTTCAAATCACACACAATTTTACCACCGAACTACATGACGAACATTGGGACTTCATCCGTACGTCGTGGAAATTCCGCACATTCGCACTGAGCGGTTCGCATCGTCCTTGCTAAACGCACTGCCAAAGAGTGGAACACACTTCCAGCTTTTGTGTTCCCGGAGAAATACAACCCCGGATTCTTCAAGTCTATGGTGAATAGATATCTTTTGGGTAAGCGCGCTACATCCTAGGTCTTGCCATCATTTACCATCAGATGAGGTAAGACCAAGCGCAATCCCATTATTAATAAAAAAAGAAAAAAAAAGAAAGCATTTTAAAAATGAGGTAACTACTTTTGACTTTATCAATTACAATCATAAAATCTTTCGCATGTGTAATATTGCTTTGAATAAATTAAATAGAAAGTAAATGAATGAATAGTTTAAACATATAGCTGGTGGTCTCTTCCGTTCAACTTTTATGCATTAATAAATAATGCGCCGACAAATTTGATGAAAATGGTGAGTAAAAAAGCTTTCCGGTTGGAGCACATTACAGTTTGTAAACAAGTTTACAAAACAACGTTATCTAGAGTTAGAGTAATGTTCGTTAGAGTTTAACTTAGAACACGTCGTTTCCGAATATTAGAGCAGACAACTTAACTTTTTTCACAGTCAATTTTATCGACTGTAATATTAAAACGTTTAGTTAATGGTAGTTAATTTTCCCACACCGACATTTAAGTCACAAAATTACTGTATTTACCCATAAATTTCATATGACTTTCCCTTGTACTTTCATCATTATCCGTTCGACCTACCTACCTTTAATTACTGCAATTGTTTACTCACACTACACGGCTCGCGTCGGAATGGACGTGACCATTTGTACAGAAAACAGAACTCGTTACTTTAGTAATTACTGTGATTTGAGAGAGTGTTTCAACGTTGCTTCTACTTTATTACCTCTCCATATTATTTTTATTAGCTACCAATACCCTAAACTTAGTGGCTCCTTAACTAGGGCTCAAATATTTAAATCGTCCAGACTATGTTGATTTATTCAAAATTTGTTAGACTTTGTTTAGGATGTCTTTTAATTAAGAGTTACCTAGATTGACTTTCGTGTTAATAAGCATTGATCCTTTAATATCACGCCCAAAGTGAATAATGTATATCATAATTAAACGTATCTACAATTAAAAACAACAAATATCGTCATAGTACATAGTAAGGAGATAGAAATGATTAGAACTCTAATTAGATTATCACAGAGTTCATAATATATTATCCTTATCAGAACATCCTATCAGATTATAATGCCCATTGATGAGTCATTGTTTCACTTAAAATATCGTGTCACCAGTATTGATTGGGTGCTAGCAATTGGTCCGTATGCCTCGTAGCTTGCAAACAAAGTTCCGCGTAGGTTGGTCGCTTTTGAACACTTAATTTCAACCTTCAGTGGTATCATTTAAGGTAGAAAATATTTAGCTAACTAAAAAAGAAACTATTTGAGTAGTATGTTAAGTTCAGTTGAACAGATTTCATTTCTACTCGATAAATCTTTTATTAAACCGAAATGATGAGGAAGCTATTATTACAACCTATTCGGGTTGAAAGGGAATGTTTTTATTTGGAAATTAATGTAGAATACTGTATATAACAATATTTCCGTTATTTTATAAAATAATAGGTGTTTAACAATATGATTATATGAAAAGTAAGAATAGCTATTTCTGCAAAACTAATGTACCGAAGGGCAGTAACTATTTTTTAATTGGATAAAAAACAAGATCATTAATAATTTTATAAATAGAATTAGACGTTAATTAGTCTATGCTTTTTTCGACTCGAGACAGTAGCTAACGAGTTAAAAGAACTAAAGGAGAACTACTAACTACTAACTTTGGTGTTGCAGATATCTTATTATTACCTATCCATGTGAAATACTTATTTAGTTTTATACAATATATTCGAAGTATGTATTATGAAAGTAGTGCAATGTAAAATGCGATTTTATTTTGTATGCATGTAGATACTTGTGAACAATTACCGTCAATATTTATTATATTAAAACATATTTATTTTTTATACAGATTCTTATATTGTATAGTTCAACTGAAATATAAAGATAAAATATGCACAATTTTACATTGAATTCATTATAATAGGAGACACAAAACAGTTATACTAAAGTGTTATTTTATTAGATTTTCTTTTACTATTTACCTATTTTCTGGATTATCCAGTAAGTAAACTAATCAAGTAAATAAGAACTAATGTAAACTGTAATGAAAGACAATCTGTAGACCCATCTACCTGATTGCATGTCTAATTTTATAAGTGGATGTTTGTACATCACCCTCTCACGCGACTGTACATGGATTGCTAGGAAGGTCACGGCTCAGGTTTGAGAGTGTTCCGGTACAATATGATATGATAATTGACATGATCATGTAAAGAGGGCACGCTGCCAGTATCTTCGGAACGTTGCCTAAGTTAGGTGACTTTTTGTTGTAATATCGAACCTAGTAATCGCCATCAATACCTATATCCTATATTGAGATGTCCCATTATATGGACTAAATGCTATCCATCTCATGTATTTTTCAATGTTTCCTTAAATTTAGAACTTACATGTGCGGGGCAGTAAAAATAGGATGTAGGAGTTGGATATATTGTTCATTTAATGTATAATTACAAAAAATCCATATACAAAAAACAGTGTTAATTTATATATATATATATGTGATAGAAAAATTATATTACTATTTTGGATACTGTATTCGATAAAAAATACGTATGATGATGCGAAAGAATACAATTTATCACTGCTTCTTACTCAATATTGTGGTAAGAGGAAACAAAAGAAATATAGTACAAGGTAAACTCAAAATAAAAACCTATGGCGGTTTACCCACACCCTAATAAAGGATAAATTGTTGTCTTGACATTACACAGAAGTGTCAAACACAAAGTTAAAACCCTGTAATTACATAAGAGTTAAATATAAATTCAAGATATAGATGTTATTTTTATGATTTATATTTGAAAATTTTACAGTACTTACATTTCCACGCGCTGCACCTTAATTCCCCATGGCTCGGTAGCTTCATCCAAAGACACTTGCATGCTTCCAGAAATGGTCTCCCTCTCGCTAAGTATCTCATGCAGAGGTCTAGTTCCCATAGTATTGCGCAGAGTAGTCTGGGCCAGGAGTCGAGTGGAATGATGGGCGTTTTCCACGTTGTTTATGGAAATGGTAGCATCCTCGACTCGGTAGTATACCACCGCATCGACAGACACGGTGACAGAATCCTTGGTGAGGACCTGGTTCAACAATAGCTTGGTGGATTCAGAAAGATCGAAAACGATTCATAGATAAGTTCATTTATTATTAAAATATTTTTGTATTTGTTTATTTATGAAATAATATTTTAATTTAATTAGTAAAACCATAATTTTATACTCTTATTTAAATATCATAATTACAGTAAAATAATTTTATAATAATGAATGAACATTTTAATTCGAAATAATCTGTATGTTATTAATCAGTTACGCGCGATTCCGCGGTGCATTCAATTTGTAGTTTTAAATTAATTATGCAACTCCCCGTATAAATTAATTTATTTATATGTGTATAATCTCTTTGATATCAATTTCCATCCCTATTAATAATTTCAGTTAATGAATTTTTTGAACTGAAACAGCTTTTATTTAATAAAAGAATCAATTTTTATTCATGCCAATAGCACAAGTATTCCTACATAGCAAATATGATATGACCTAACATTTCTACTCCTAGAAATTAATCCTGTTACACGAAATAGGAAGCGGCTATCATTAGCAGCAAAGCGTAAATTGAATTTGCTATTTTCTCGACAGTGTAATTAAACAATTATATTGTGCTTGTTTTAATATAATTTGAAATAATTGTTACTGTATATGCAATCAAAGAATTTAATTAAAAATCTGTCTTCAACACATAGGGTTATAGACAGATTTCTAATGAAAAATGGAATGTTTATAAACTACCTATATATGGATACTGTTCGAATTCTGAACAAAAGTTGATACAAAAAATACATTTTAATATTGCTGACGTTCCGGAATAACGGGATTTTGCTTTTACCTCTGCTGGCATTGGGTATATATGTTAGTATGATGTCTAGTACTTAAACTATGTAATTATTAATATAATTACATAGTTTAATTAATATAAAGAACACCCTAATTTTATTCTTTACCTTGATTACATTCTCGTTTTTTCAAACATAAGGTGATTTATGTCAGGCCGTGTCGCTATATTATCCTTTACACAGAACACTGTTTAAGAGCGATTCTGAGGATTTCCTAACTTTTGACCATTTGTAACAATCCCAATGAGTGAAGCCTTTACTTTTTTACACATATTTATATATGTAATAATTGATTGTTTAGTAAGTCGTATTATAATTATATTAATTTCTTTTATTGAATTAAATTTAAATTTCATATACAATATTAATATTTTTACTACCCACAGTAAATTAAAATTGTGTCAGCAGTTCAGTAGATACTACTTTACTAATTATAGATTCGTTACTGTCATATGTAAATCTTCTACCGTGGCAAAGTTCAAGTTCGAAATCAACTTAAATATGGAAATCGTAAAAATAAGCTTCTGCCCTTTTAAAAGGCCAGTGTTAATCAATGACTTTTCTAAGTTATTAATATCCAGAGACCGCTGTAACTGTCAGCTAAACCTGGCCACATTATTAGGTTTAGTCGTTTGATTATCCTATATGATTTTCTATTAGTATATTTAGATCTACTCTCTGATGCCTGACCTCTTCAGAAAATCAAGAATCGGAATAGACACTGTTAGTATTCTTGATTTTCTGAAGAGGTCAGGCATCACATATAGACAAACTATCGGCCGACTGATTCAATGATGTGAGGCTAGGTTTAAAGTGCATGCTATTTAGGCCTTTTCTCGTAAAATTGAACTGAAATAGTCAATTTTGTCCTTCACCTCTACAGAGTAAATACCTACACCTCAAATCAATGTCCGATCGAGAATGTGTATTTTACATGTTTATAGTGAATATAGTAAATCCAAATTACGTCCTACGAATTATCCATTAGGTTAATGAAGGCGTGTCCAGTTTACGGAGCTTAAGTACATTTGTTAAGTATGTTAACCTTTTCAGCTTTTGTGATACGATTACTATGCTGGCACTTTTGGATTCAAATTCCAAAATCATTTATTCATTTAGGACATTTCAGCTGCTTATGAATGGTAAATTTTTTTATAGTATATTTTTTCTTTACCACCCAGTTCAGGTATACAGATTGAATTGAAACGAACCGGCAAGAAAGACAAATTGAGTTCTTATTTCTTTTTATAAAAAAAAGCCATTTTTTTTTACAAATTAAACTAACATTAAATGAAATTCTCGTGCATAAACAACTATTGCTATGCATGCTCGTCATTCAAGTAAACGTTTAGGGAGTTTACTTAACAGTTAGTTAGATTTCCTTAAAGAATGATGAAAATTGATGAAAATTGACGATAAAATATGTCAAAAATGCAACATGCTTTACACCGATATATATAAGACGTAGTTTTATACAGCGCTGCAACGTCAATTACATGATTTTAATAACCTTCGTGAGATATTGAATTTTTAGCGTGAATAAGGCAGGTCTGTATATTCTTGACAGGGCAATTTAGGAAACTAGAGTTTCTGAAAGAACTTTGAAATCGTTTTCTTGGAACTCATATTAAGTTTTGATTATGACGTCCTGAGTTTCGTAAAATATTTCTCATAATTACTGAAAGTATATCGTAATAAAATATAAGCGTTTCTATTACGTTGTTATTATTTTAATTTGTATGTTTTAATGGTTCTAGAAAATATTGTGGAGTCTTTAGTATGTACGTAAATATGGAATATTATTTAATATTTCTGCGTATCTGATTGCATAATTTGCACTCAAATGGAAAATATAATGTGATTTAATTATTCTACGTTTCTGACTTTATCATGTCCAGTCAAACGGAAACATAGAATATCCAATAATCATTCTACGAGGATAACTGAGTTGAGTGCACTCAAAAGTAAATATTGAAAATCATTTAATTATTCTACGTATTTGACTGCATCTTATGCACTCGAAAGGAAAACATCCTAGCATTTATTAATGTTATTTCTGAATATAAACGTTAGATATGTTTTACAATAGTAAATAAATAAAATTAGAATGTACCTCTCTTTATATAGTTATGTATAGTAGTTTTAAGGTAATTAGTCGTAGTAGCAGTAGTAGTAATAAATATTAATAGTGTAGCAATTAGCTTAATTAATTGAAGAAATAAATAATAATGAATGAACCCGTCTTTGTGTACGTAGGTGTGTTATATGTCTATAGAAAAAAATTCAATCGTAAATTCACCTTTGTGTAACTGAAATTTGTTTAAATCATTTTTACAGATATTACGGTATTATAATGAAATTATAAAAACTTGTTACTATAAATAACTAAGTAATTTCAAGGATTAAAATTACTAAAATAGACTTTATAATGGCTAGACGTTAAACTAATGGGACTAGTTCTAACGTCATTCACGCTGCAAGTGACTGGATATGACAGTATAAAATCAATTAAAAGGTGACGTCACAAGGACAAAGAAAATAACGAGCACGATGCACGCTATTGAAGCGTAATTGGAATGCAGAGAAAATATTTTCCGCTCCATCAATATCAGTTTATAGATATATGTAATGTAATAATGTATATGTAATATATAATGTAACTGAATGATTTTAATTTTAATTCAAATTTGTTTTTGCACGTGTAAATATATTATTGAGGTCTTTCGGAATATTATTTTCAAATCTGTGCTGATATTTAGGCTCATAGGCTATGGCACTGTACGTTCATATCTTTGCTAATATTAAGATTGATGGGCTATGGTATGGTATGGCGTTCGCCATAACTGTATGCTTGTTTTCCAGTACTATGATGTAATAAAACATTTTATTTACAATACGATTTCGAGCTATACTAATATACATTAAAATAAAGCAATTACTAACAATCTTATTACTTAATATTGTTCCTATAACGAAATAAGTAAATAAAACAAGTCTATTGACTTCGAAAGACAAAAGATACCGTGTACACAATATAGAAACTGTCTTAGCTCATTTGTTTTGTGTTCAAACGAAGATTGAGAAGAACTAAAGGTTATTATGTATATAAAGATAAAGTAGCAACACTATCTTTAAATAAATGGTAAGCTTTAGAAGCTTCTCAATTTCCGTGCACTGAATAAGACCTATTACTGCACCTGACAACTTCAATAGCAAGCCCGTTATGCCGTCGAGATTAGATACTCATCTCCGGATTGCACTTACCTGACATATTGTATCACGTTATCAATAACGCAATCTATGGGCTATAATATATATTTAATACAGCTAGCTAATATGGAACATAACTTTAACGATCATATGCATTTTGAAGTACCAGAGTTGTTAGTAACATAACAAAGCACCGTCATTCATCCCCTAATCATAACACACAATGGCGACAAGTTCAAGGAAATGTTTAGTAAATATTATAATTGTATTAATAAAAGCTACATGCATACAGGATAGTTTGTCACTGAAAAATAGTAACATCTGCCCACAAAACTAAATATACAATAACATAAACACGCTCATATCTTACAAAATATCTTTGCGAATTGGTTGCGCCATATAACATTACATTTTTGTTTATCATTGTATAATTATTATTAGTAATAGTTTGTTTAAATAAATAATTTAGCGTGGTACGAAACGTTAATTTTCTAAGGATTGGCACTACACTAATTCCTTTATCCTCTCCTATTCCCGCACATACCTTTGTTTTAAGTGCGAGCGAGAAGATTCGCTTGTATCGAAAGTGACATATCGCGCTCGCGCGTCACTGTTAAATTGAACGCTGAAGTTGACATTGAATTCCCGCCTTGATCGCGCTTAAGATCAAGTTTTTTTGTAATTCGTGATAATTACTAAACATTTTAATCCACCGCATCGCTCTAGTGTGTTTAAGACCATTGTGTTTGTGCCATTGTTGTGAAGCAAGTAGCTGGGACCTGGAGACACCGATAGCCGCCGCACTGCAACCTACAATTCAAAGGTACTGTGCCTCCTTCCTTACCAGAACTGTCTTTCTTTGTGTTCCATCCTCACAAGCAGTTCTCAATCACCAACCTAACAGTGTATCGTGTCAATCCACGTACCCGTCAGATTATTTAGATACAGTCCACTTAAATCAAAATCAAACAATATTTA